AGGAGGCTCCATAAAGGTGGTCAATTCAACAAAAAGATCAATCCATGGAATAGTCAGAGTAAAGACCAGTATTAGAGTGTGATCAGATACCTTGGACTTCTTTATCAATCCCATGGATGATTTTAAAGTTGTTTTAGAAATTAACTACTTGGAATAAGTAAGAGCATTCCCAATGTCCTTCGCCAATAGCATGTGCATCATGGAAGGAAGTCAAGTTTGTCTAGTACTGATAACAAGGGCTAATAAGCAAGAAGTTAAAATGCTATCGGCTATTCAATTCAAAGAGAGCATTCCAAAAGAAAATGGGGGTTATTGGGTTGTTCTTCACTACTCCGATGAAGAAGTGAAGCCCCAAGAAAACATGTCAAGGAAACTGGTGGTGCTTCTTAAAGAGCAACCACCAAGGAGGGAGAAAAATCATCTAATTAGGCTGGAGCCAAGGACTAAGCCGTCAGCCATGAAGTCTCACTGCATGGCACCCTCCCCAATACCACCAAGGAAAAACTAAAGTTTGTCAAGAGAAAACAAAGGAAGCTGGCCAGAGTGCGAGGGGAAGCTGCAATGAGGGCATTGCGAGCTTAAGTGGGGGAGAGTGTCATGATCCGCTATCCTCTAGAAATTGGAATAGCAAGCATGGGATAGAAGATTCTATAGAAAAACAGAATGTAGAGAGCAATCGAAGAGACTCTAGAAGATTCCACGGCATTCTAGAAAAAGCTCGAAAGAAAGAGAATATTTCAAGGAATTCTAGAATCCTCCACATAATTCCATAAATATATTGAAAGAAGCAAGTTTCAAAAGAACACTAGAATATTCTGAAAAGTTCTAGAAGCATATATGTATATAAGAGAATAGTGTAGAACTATCTAGAAACTAAAAAATTCTAATATAATCTAAAAAGTTTTCTTATGCTTGAGAAGGACTATAAATTGTAACCATCAAAGAAAGGATCCAAGGAAACCAACCAACCTTTCAAGTGTTGTAATTCTTCTTTCTTAGTAAAGCGTTCATTTCTCCAATATTTCTCTCTATTCTTCTTAGAGTGTTTTGTGCTTTCAAGTCCAAGTTTTGTGAGGGATAGACTAATTTAGTGCCAAAGAAAGAGCTCTAAAGCCTCATGGGTGACTAGAGATAATTTAGTCTGTGACACACAACTCTCCTTACCTGCTTGAGTCAAAATACCTCCTTGATACAGTCGCAAAGGCAACAGCTGGACGACCAACATACAGAGCCATCTATACCCCATTCGCACAGGTAAGCCTCACTGAATCCCTCGCTTGGTTCCTCTCTACCGCGATGCTGTGAGTTTTCGCCTACCCGATTTGATCGCGAGACAGTCGCAATTATCAATAACAAGGAAGGTGAGAATGGAGTCGCAACGTATAGAGACTTCAAGACTCACTTCTGCCAGAAGTCCTCGTTTACATCTCCCTTGCCCGATCCCACTCGCGATAAAATAGTGATTAGAGCGAACAAGGAGATCAACGATGGGATCGTCGGCATGGGAAACCCTTGTCGGACTCTTTATCCCTAGTCGGAAGCCCTCACACACTTCTCTCTTCTGCCAGAAATTCTCGCCTTCACCTCTCTTGCTCGAGAGACTCACTGTCGCAAATAACATTAATTGCAAAGGTAAACATGGAATTGCAAAGTACAGGGACCCGAAACTCCCTCTTTCTCCTATATATGATGTTGAAGCCAATGCACTGCATCTTATTCTCAATCAAAATCCTTCCAAAGCAAAGGTCCAAGGTGAAAAAATTGACATGAATGTGGGGGAGAGCTCCTGGCAAGCCATGTCAATGAAAAAAGCAACAATGGAACACATAAAAATGCTTCTTAAATCTTTCTCTATTTTTTAAGTTGTCTCCCTTCCTTATGTTTGTGCCATATAGGAGCTCTCTCTCCTGACCACCACTCGTTTGAAAGCTTTCTTTATCCCAAAAATATTTATTGTTTTCCTCAAACTTCTACCTACCTCACATGCCATCCCAAGCCAAAACTTCTCTTCTCTAGGTAACCATGAAAAGAGTTGTGATATTTCTAAATAAAATATATATAATATATATAAAATATTATAAAAAATAAGAGGTGTAAAGAGAGAAGGGGAGATGGGAGAATCAAAGAATTGTATGGGAAATTGAGTTTATATCATTTTATGCAGGAAAAGGTGAAGACCCGCATACGTCTTATATACTGGTGGATTAAAAGATTTCTTTCAGCCGTCGTGTCTCACGACATTGACTAGCAAGTCTTATAGACAGCTAAGAAGGCAAGCACCCCGATGCAACTCGAGAGGCTGCCGAATTTTTGAATGTATTTGGGCTTGAAAAATTTTTAAAATTTGAACTTTATAAAATTATAAAATGACCTAAAGTTAAATTATTTGAGCTTTTAAACTTGCAAAAATAAATAAAATACATATTTGAAATTGGATTGTCAAGGCTTGCAAATAATTTTAAAGTTTGAATTCTTTAAATGACTCAAATATAAGAACTGGGTAACTAAACTTAAATTGAATATCGAAAATTGACTTAAATATACACTATCATAATTTTGGGGCTAAGCTTGCATGGGTCGAAGTTTAGGGTTTGTCCAATTGAATTGAATATGAATACATAAATTGGGGGCTAAATTCAAGCACACAATTGTCATTTATAAATAGTAAAAATGAAAATCTAATAAGCCAATCTCGCCATTGAATTCACAACACACTTGCTAGCAAACAGAAGGTGGACCCCTTTTAAAGCCTAAATTCATATATACTTGTGCAAATATTTTAAGCTCTAAATGATTTTAAAATTTATAAAAATTTAGTGGGTTCACTCTTAAGACTTATTAGAAGAGTAGCACTTGGATACTCTTTTGTTATCTATATAAGTCGATACATTTGCAAGTTTTAACGAGTTTAGTTGGAAATATGCAAGTTCTGCCATAGCTCAAATTTATGACTCAAGTGGGTCAAAAATTTATAACTGAGTGATTTAACTGAATTATATTCTCATCACTACAATCAATCACTGACTACTCAAGTTTTTCCATCTCTTTGATTAGCTGCTTTTGTTGAGTAATCAACCAATTTGAACTACATGAAGTCTTCCTACTCGGTACATTTGCAATCAAATTTACCTTTCCTGGATGGTATTGACTATCCAAATCATAATTTTTAATAAACTACAGTCATGTCATCTGCCTCGTATTTAGCTCTTTCTGAGTAAAGATGCACTTAAAACTCTAATGAGCATTAAATATCTCACATCTGACTCCATAGAGATTGTGTCTCCATATCCTAAGTACAAATACAACTGCTACAAGCTCCAATTCATTTGTGGGATGATTTCTTTCATGATTGTTCACTTGTCTTAAAGTATTGGCAATGAACCTTCTATGTTGCATAAATACACGACCCAAACCCTTTAATAAATACATCACTGAAAAATCTAAAACTCTACTGATCTTGAAAGAATAGCCAACACTGGAGCACTAATCAGGCAAGACGTCAACTTCTAAAAATCCTTTTCGCAATGATCAATCCAATCAAATTTTATCGATTTCTGTGTTAGCCGAACAAAGGCATATCTATCCAAGAAAACCCCTTTACAAACCTCTTATAATAACCAGTCAGATCTAGAAAACTCCTGACCTTAGGAATAGTAGCAAGTCTTGCCAATCTGCTATCATCTTGATCTTATTATGATTCAAGAATATGTCAACTTCAGGTATTACATTGGATGTGTGTGGATCACTACAAGGAGAAAGTTGGGGCCTTCAAAAAACTATTTAACACAAAATCTTAAGCTCATAAATGAGAAAAGTCTATAAATCAATTGGAACTATTCAAATATTTATTGTCGAACTAAAACCAAAACTCTCATATGTCTTAATTAAATCAACTCTTTGTGTGACGATTCTCGTCATCAGCCATCACTTCTTCTTAATCAAATATTTTAGATCCCATACCATAAATGCACTGGAAAGCTCGCCCTATAATGTTGCATAAAATGGGAATCAATGGCAGAGAGGGGCTAAACAAATATCTCAAGAACTGCAAACTACATTGATTAATCAAGCCCGCTGGATAGTGACAGTTAAGCCACTTATCCGTGAGTATCAATCACGGAGGGACCAATTTGGGGATGATGTACTAATATTTAAACACAAATTCAACCAAAAAAAACTTCTAATGAATTGGAAGCAGCCTCTAGTACATTAGCTCCAACATATTTTTTTAAAAACACATTGTTAAAACTCAGATGAACAAAAAACTTGACCCGTCATCCAATATGACACAACACAACACTGTAATCAATAGCCCAGTTTTAAGCTTGATGGACAACATTGTCAAAATTTTAAGATTAGCTTCGCCAAAATATAAAAATTTTCATGCTTGCGACACATGGCTTCTACTAACCTATTGCTTTGTTCACAATCCGATATATGATCCCTTCTACTAAGCTATTACTATGTGTTAACTTCCTATTAAGCCTATATCATAATCAAGAAACTACTATAATCGGGCATAACTGAGACATTGGTTGATGGCAAGATTGAGGTTACATCGTGCTTAAATAATGCTCAAATCCTGCTACCAAAGAGCCCCAATAATAAATTTCTTAAGTTTTAACTTTAAGCAGCCAAATGAGCCCTAAATTGGGCACACACACATTCAATGTCCAATTGGTAAAATAGTTTTTATTTCTTAACCAGAACATCAAAATTTCATTCCAAGGCCAAATATGGCCATATAATACTGAATCGAACAACGGAAACTTGCATACATACCACATAATTCTTGTGTATTTACGTGTCTAAAACCCAAAGTTTGATATTTACACCTATAACTCCTTGGTGTCGTAAATCTTTGCATGAAAAAGGTGCATTTCACTTTTAAAAAGATAGTAATGGTATGTAAATATGGTTGTTTGGATGTTAAATATGTAAATACATAAGAATGATGCGGTATAAATGTAAAAGCCGATATAAGAACAGAGAAACCAAACCTGGTTCTTCTCTTGAATGAGAAACAACAGAAACTCCTTCTCCCGTCGGTGGCGACGCCTCAAATAAATCAAATACCCAGCCACGCAGGCCAAAGCAGCTAATGAACAAACTCCGACTCCAACACCCTCTGCAGTTCCTCCCCATCTAAGTACCTTGGATCGGATAACCTCAAACCACGAAACAATCATTCCCTGAGCTGAGATTGAAAGTGACTTGGAAGCCGGTCCTAACTTCTCCTCCTCTCTATGTCTCTCCGGTAAAACCGGCACAATCGCAGTGCCCTTCATCTGTTGTTGAGATGAAGCTAGGGTTTGATCTGGATGAGAGTGGATGTAAAGTCCTTCGTGAAGATTGGGAGGGAAGATAGAGCAATCGTGGTAAGAGGCAGACACCATCTTCCAGCTTCTACTGTTCTCCTCTGATGCTGAAATTAGTGCTAGCGGTTCGCAGCCACCCGCCTTTAGTTTTATCTCGTTCCCAAAGCCGATGAAGGAGAAGGTCATCTCGTCGCCGTCCATCAGTGGTCGCCGGTCACTGCATCACCGGCGAGCAGCGATTACTTGTCTCCTTCAGAAGTAAGGAGCTGCGACTCCCTCCCTAGACGTTCGTCTCGAACAACGCATCAAAAGGGCTTAAAAGATGTGATTGTCATTATTAGTTATTTTAAAGTTTTAAAATATAATTTTCATTCTTAGATCATTCATAAATGTACATTAGAATGTGTCCAAATGGATCTAGAAAAATCTAAGAAAGTGGGAAACAAAATAAGTGCATGTAAGGAAGGCCTACTCGTGGAAGATCAAATGACTCATTTGACAGGATGCAACCCTCTAAATAGGGATTCAAGGCCAACAAGGAGTAAACCACCCAAACCAAAGACTAAGGTCAATCGAACCGAGAAAAGACAACGATATGTCTCTCGCTGCAACCCAACTTATGTGAAAAGTTCGGTATCACCACCAATCTAATGGATGCCCCTAAGAATCCTCATCAATGGTTAAAAATTAACATCTACATATGAGCATCTTGAAGAATCCCCTTATTAGGGAATAAGCTATTATCAGATTATGGATATTCACCATTTGTCTGATAGTCTATTCTCAATCTACCGATTTGAGCTCCCCATCTATGAATCAATAATTGACATCCATACTATAATAGTAAATCGATAAAGCCAACATGATTGAGTCAAGTCTTGTTAACCCGAAGACCATCAAAAACTGACTGACAGTCCCGATTCAGCACAGCCGACGAACAAACCTTGTCTAACCAAGGCCCAATGATTTCATCCAACCAAATCAAATGACAATCAATTCATCTGCCCATGCATGTAAAATACCTAAAATATTTTGTAACGCCCCAAATAAAGTATGAGCAATCATTAAATAATTTATAAATAAGGTAATCATTTTATGAGAGAATGCTAAATAATATTGTTTATTATTCATTATTGTGCATTTTCACTTTATCTATTTTCTCAATTTCTCGTGTATTACCCTCTATTCCTTGGATGTTATTCATGGACAGATTGAGATTCAATATCATAAAATATTCGGTGAGTGTGAATCATTTGATACATTATAAGAGAAGTATAACATGGAGAAGAAACCCACAACAGACACTAATAGCATAGAGTGCATCAAAGAATTTATGCAACAACAAATCCGGGCGTTGAAAGACCAGATGATGGATGCTCTCCGAATGGCATTGGCTCGGGGAAGGGAGAAAAATCACTAAGAGTAAGGGCCAGTGCTCAACGGCCGGAGAACACCCTTAATTGTGGAAAGGGAATGATGTACCTAGCACTTTGATGGTTTTTGGTCAACACAGATAGATAAACAATAGTTAGGGGCTCACAAAAGCACCTCGCGCATCTAGAGAAGGTGTTATCTTCACATATTTATGAAGTTGGGCCCTCAAATAGATTCAACAGTTTTGCACCGGAATCTTGCATGGGTTAGATTGATCTAGTTGACCACATAGATTTCTTTGAGTGGATTATATGTTTGTTGAGGACCACATGAGCATTAAAGTGTCAACTCTTCATCACCATGCTGAGGGATTTGACCCTCTGGTTGTTTGATGGATTGCCTCCGAGGATGATCACCTCATTTGCTGACTTAAAAAAGATGATTTGATACAGTTCACAAACGCTCATAAGCCCTTGAAAAATTTACAACCCTTTCTATAAATAAGGAAGGTGTAGAATGAGAGCCTCCACTTGTTCATTACTTAATTCCATAAGAAGATATTGGAAGTGTGGGATTTGGAACCCGTGGTGGCGCATGTTGCTCAAGCCCAAGGGTTGAAGGAAGGTCAATTTTGGTACGCTTTAGGCCTGCGATGATCGAAGGCCTTAGTTGAGTTGTTGGAGCTAACAAACAACCATATATCAACCAAAGAATACAACTTCACCCTCGCTTCCGTCAGGATGGAGCCTTCCACCAGCCGTCTGTAGAAGAGGCCCCTGGGGATGTCATGTAGGAGCAAAAGATGATTCATGCCTTTTCGCTAGCCCACATTATGAGGTCAAGGCATAAAATCATGAGTGTCATGCACGACATCTTGACCAACAATCGAATTAGTATAGTGAGTACCAGTTGTCTCATCATGAGATGCTCAAGACAACCCCGTTGAGGGTATTAATGTCCGAGATAGTATAGTTCATATTAATAAAGAGTACTTTAAAAGAGCTCCATGATGAAGACCAAAACTTGTTTCTTGAATCCAAAGAAGCATTGCACATATCATCAAAATCACGACCACGATACGAATGGTTGTCGACACCTCCGAATCCTGATCAAGGAGCTAATTAAGGTGACAAACTAAAAGAGTTTGTGGACTCTGGAACAACCACTCAAAGGCGTGGAAAAGCTTTGTTAAAAGAAATTATGGATGAGTCAGTTTGAGCGCACACAATTCACATCGCCGCCCGAGATCCTTAAAATGATGTTATAGTCATTATTGCCTTAATAAACAAATACCATATTGATAGCATCCTTGTCAACACTATGAGTTGTGTGAAAATCTTGTTCAAGTTAGCATTTGATAAGATAGGTGTGGTAAGAGCAGCTGACTGACAGCGGTTGTTGGTCTGATTTATGATTTTTTTGGCAAAATGAAAGAAGCCTTAGAAATCACACCCTATCAGTCATTCAGCAGATTCAGCAGGAAAAACAATTCAAAAATATGGAGGGTTTCCTTGTGGTCTATTTGTCGCCAACCCACAACACCATCTTTGGACAACCCCTACTCAACAACTTCATGGTTGTCACTTCAACGTACCAAGTAGCGATAAAGTTTCCAAGCACGGCGAAGTCATTACATATTGGGGCAACCTTGGGTAATCACTTACCTGCTTCGAGCGGTCGGAAGTGTGGAGCAGGAATCGTTTAATCTTCAAAATCTGCTTGAATGGTTTCTTAAGACCAACGAGGCCACTCTCAAGATCCTGACAATCGGAGGTGAACCAAATAAATTCTTTCAAGTAAGTTAAAATTTTGATGCAAGGTGGAAGGATATGTTGATCAAGATCCTTTTATATCATCGAGATGTTTTTGCTTGGTCAACTGACGAAACTTCTGGGATGTCGGTCAATATTATATGTCATCTCTTGAACAATAATAAGGATATGTAGCCATAATTTTAAAAAAAAAACATGATGATGATCCAACAAATTGCTTCTTTGTTGCAAGAGTTATCGAAATTTAGGGGAGGATGATGAGTGTTTCTAATTTTAAAAATATTAATAATATTTATATTAATTAATATCAATAAATGTAAAACAAAAAATTGCTAATTAATTATAACTAGGATATGAATCTTATTTTAATTACAACTCAAATAACAATGTAAAGGCATATTTCATAATTAAAAGTTAAAATAGTATAAATTTTCATGTGATGAAAATATTTAGTTGTATAAGTACATAAAACAAAGTTCAGATCTCACACATATAAATTGATAAGCATTAGGACCCAGATCGCCGGGGGAGAAGGATGGACGCGTGGGTTGCAGCTCCTTCATTCTCCTGCCCGGTAGAAATGTATATAGAATGGTGGATGGAGTTGAGAGAGGGGACGAGAGCGCGAGATCACCGTCTGCCATTGTGTCAGTTCCGATCATCTCTTTCGTCGTCATTCGACATTCTGAAACCGCCGGAAGGAGTTTTGTCATGGTAAAAATAGCAACTCGTAAGTTGGTAGAACTCCTTACAGAGTGCTTGATTTTGAATTTACTTACTATTCACGCAGAGTTTTTGAGTAAGAAATTGTGGAAGTAGGTATACTCAAACTTTGATTACTGGCTGGTGGCTTTACTCGTGCAAATCATTAGCTATGGTCCTTGAAATGGCCGGTATGTTTTGAAGGCCTGTTTGGATGTCTAGCCTAAGCAAATATAATCTATATGATGAAAGCTTAGGGGTTGTTTTGCTGCAGGCAGGATTTAATTCAAATATAATTTTTTAAGTTATGAAAATTCAAATTTAGAAAATCGAGAGGAATTAAAACATAGAAATTGTTTGGCATGATAATTGTTAAATCTTGTTAAATTCCGGCTGTTTTCTTTGATTTCTGGATGGCATTCTTATCTGTTCGTAACAATAAACCTTAGGAAAGGACTACCCTCCAACCCACCCTCAATTCTCAGCATGAATTTACATTGATCAAAACCTATCGGCAGCCTTATACTTAACTATTTCAGCGGCTATACTGCCTTATGTCCTCCACCTTCAAGCGTCATCATAAATTTGGAAGACCATGGAGATGAGGCTTCAACCCACAAACAAGTACCGAGTGATCCAATTGAAAAATGAGCTTCAACACATCTTGATGAAGAACAACACAATAACCCAACAACTCTCTGAAATCAAGGCACTTGTGGACAATATTCAACTGTCTGAGCTCATATTGATCAAGAAAATGTGATACTTTACATCTTCAATGGCCTACCGCCCGCTTATCAATCTCTTAAAACTACCATCCGCCTCCAATTGCAATCCATAAGCTTGGATGATTTATATTTGTTTCAATGCAATGAGGAGATTAATTTTGTCGCTCAAAAGGCTAAGAACAAGATGACAAATGATTTCCAACAAGCTTTAGGCTCTGTTTAGCGCAACTGTAGCTTTTCAGCTTCTCTGCTTCTCAGCTGCAGCTGCGCTGTCTCAGGATGCTGCTGTGGGGAAATTGGTTGTCTGTCTGAGGCAGCTGTGTGAAAACAATTGTGAGACAGTTGTTTCTGAAAAAATAACTATTATGTTCCTGTTTAATAATGTTGTGCTTAACAGAACTGTGATACCAATAAATTTAATATTTTTAGCAATTTCCTCATGCTCCTTACATAGATAACACCTTGAAGGAATCCTAAGACCCTTCAAATTAACAATATCACAAATAGTTAGCAGATTGTGTAGAAATTAACATTTGAAAAATGCCAAAATCTTTCCCCAAGAAACCTCAGACCAGGTGTTACATTTATGAGAAAACATATTTGAAATTAACTGATGTTGAGGTCTTTTCGCTCTTAACACATCATTCTTAGTATTATCAAGAGGAATATTAGAAATTTTTTTAGTAAAAACATCACTAAATAATAGATTCAGCTATTGAGAATTTCATCTCCCTTACACT